GTACAGATACAAACACTGACACACATGCAGATAAATATACATACAGATACACACAGGGCCGGCGCTACCTGTAAGGCGACCTAGGCAGCCGCCTAGGGCGCAACTTAGCAGGGGGCACCAGATCCCTGCACCAGGAATCACCGGTGCGGCTCCAACATGCTGCGCCGCCTGAGCACTTTAGCAAGCCTTAGGCGGCGCAGCACTGCTGTATGGATGGCGGCCGGATTTGAGTGACCGGCAGGAGGGTAGCGCAGAGCGCTCCCTCCTGCCGGTCTCTTAATGTAGCGTGGCCGGGTGACACGGAACGCGGGACAGGAACCTCTGTTTCCTGTACCGGGCCGCCGGTACTTCCTGTCATTCCGCCGGTGGCCGGGTAAAGGAAACAGAGGTTCCTGTCCCGCGTTCCCATGCCGCCCGGTCACGCAACATTGGCAGGAGGGGGGAAGGGGGAGTAAGGACCACTGGGGGACTAAGGACCACTGGGGGGGAGGAGGGGGGTCCAAGGACCACTGGGAGAAGTGGGGGACTAAGGACCACTGGGGAGAAGGGGGAGTAACCACTGGGGAGAAGGGGAGTAAGGACCACGGGGGTAGGAGGGAGGGGGCTAAGGACCACTTGGGAGGAGGAGGAGGGGGGATTAATGACCACTGGGGAGGAGAGAAGGGGGGGGACCACCACTAGAGGAGGAGGGGGGACTAAGGATCACTGGGGAGGAGGGGAGGAGGGAGGAGGGGGGACACTAAGGACCACTGGGGGAGGAAGGGGGACGACTAAGGACCACTCGGGAGGAGTGGGGGGAGTAAGGACCACTGAGGGAGAGGGGGTGGAGTAAGGACCACTGAGGGAGGAGGGGGGAATGTCCACTAGGAGTTTGCCAGAGGGAGGACCACTAAAGGGGGGGGACAGGGGAAGGACCACCAAAGGGGGGGAGGGCGGACCACTGAGGGAGGGAGGACCACTAAGAGGGAGAGAGGGGAGTGAGAAGACCACCAAGGGGGGACTGCAGAGGGACAGGGGGCCAAGGGAGAGCACTAAGGGACAGAAAGGGAGAACACTAATTGACAGGAGGGGTGAGCACTATGAAATTATTTTAACAAAATAAAGAGCTGCTCCCCTCTCAGTCCCTATCCTACCCCACAAACCCTACCTTTTACACTACACATATACACAATTCATCCCCCCCCCCACACACACACACACAGAAACATACAATGCATCCTTACTCACACACAGACACACCCGAAACACACAATGCATCCCTTAGGCTCACACAAACACTCATTCTCTTACACACAGAAACAAAATGCATCTCTTACACACTCAATGCACCCCTTACAGACACACACTGCATTCAATTACATACACAGAAACACACCTTGCATCCCTTACACACACACCCAGAAACATACAATGCATTCTTTACACGCAAACACACACTGCATCCACTATACACACACTACATCCCTTATACAAATTGGTATTCCTATACACTACATTCTATAAGAACACACACACATTGCATCCTCTACAATAACACATAAAACATCCCCTACACACATACACTCCACTACCTGTGAGAGAACCCATGGGTGGGCCATGTAGGTGGATTTATGAGTGGGCATTGTAGGCATACTCACGGTCAAGCCCTGGGGGCCCAGACCTTGAGCTGTGTAAGGGGCCCCAAAAAATGGCGCTGCTTCCTGTTCTACACAGAGTGAGCCCACAATCAGCCTCTTGTCCTCATCTGGTGGTAAGTAGGCAATCCAATATATTATTAGTGGCACTAATCTCTAATTTACCTCACATTAAATGGATACTATAGTCACCAGAAGCACTAAAGCTTAATCTAGTGGTTCTGGTGTCTATAACCTGTGCCTGTAGGCTTTTTAATGTAAACACTCTGTCTTTTCAGATAAAAGACACTTTGTGAAGACTGGCGTTGGCCCATATGGCAAAGCATATGGGCGGGGCATTGTGATGTCACATGGTGGGCAGGACATATGGGGGGCGGCAAATTTTTTTTTGCCTAGGGTGGCACAAATCCGTGCACCGGCCCTGGATACACAAGCTAACACACATGAACATAAACACAACGACACACATGCAGATACACACACTGACTAAATACAGATACACAGATATACACACTGACACACACAAAGATACACATACTGAAATACAGACACAAACTGACAGATATACCGACACACACTGACAGGCATACTGAAAAACACTGAAAAACATACTGACATGCACCCTAAGAGACATATTGACACACGTACTAACACACACTGACACACAAACTGACAGACATCCGAACACACACAGACATACTTGCACACACAATGATAGACATACTGACACAAACACACGGACATACTGAAACACACAGACATGCTGACACACACACACACACACACACAACCATACTGACACACAAACTGACAGACATACTGACACACACAGAAATACTGACACACACACTGACAGACATACTGACACAAACACATGGACATACTGATACACACATACATACTGACACTCACAAACATACTGACACACACACAGACACACTGACAGTCCTACCGACACACATGCAAATGTTACACTTTTAAAGCCAACCTCCAGTTTCCTACCTTTTGGATACAGGAGGGTGGCTTCCTAGAGGTCCAGTGGCAGGCTGAGCTAGTTGGGAGGCTTAAAGTGCATGTGCCACCCGATGGGTTCTCGGTGTAGCCCCCACACTGGCATTCATTTTTTGATAACAGTGTGTGGCCCACGGGGCTGCTTCTTTGGGCACCAGCAGGAGTAATTGGGCCCTGTTTGCCCTGCGTTAAGGAGGACCTTAAATATTGTAGCCATTTTTGCATACCAGCACACTCATATGCAGCATTATTCTGCAGTTGTATGTGTCCAAATGGCTTTGCCGAATTTTTCTGCACCAGAATTCAGCCAAGCTGAACAGCAGCATAAACTAATTTCTGTAGACCACATAAAAAAAGTTTCAGCAGGAGTGGTCCACAAAAAACTAAATGTTTTACCTTGCACAAGTCTAGTCAATACTTTCATAGTGAATTTACAACTTTAGAATAAATTAAAGTCAGCTTTCGTTTCCATTTGGTTATTTTGGCCCTAATATTTGAATTCCCAGCAATTATCACTAGACATAGTTCTTCACTAAACTCATATTTGCAAACTAAATCTGAATGAAGTCGTGACTGTGATCGAATTTGAGAAATATTTTCAGATCTGCAATTTTGCTTCAGTTTTGCCATTGGGATTTAATTTGCAAAAACTTGCTTAGTAAATACCCTATTTGTAAATAATCCTGTCAATGTTATTCACTAAATTCTCCTAATCTTTGCATAATGAAACAAACTGCTAATGTAAGGATAAAAGAGCTGATTTGGACAAAATCTCAATAGTCGTAGCGTAGTTTGTATTTTTTCTCTAAATTTTGGAGTTAAAGGGACACCGTAGGCACTGTATCTGCTTCATCTCATTAAACTGGTTATAGTGTCTGGAGTCCTCTGGTACCATCATTTCTTTCAGCATTAAACAGTTTTTAGTGTTGTAATGTTTTAATGCTAAACAAGAGTCCACGGCAGTCTATCCCCTCTGTGCTGCTTTGGCTAATAAGGAAGTATTCCCCTCAGAGGCAATGGGCAGCTGTGAGTGTCAGCTGACTGCTTTTAGCCTGTCAGAGCTCCAACTAACGGTATGGATGGGTATGACAACAAGGAAGTGTGTAATCTCTGCCTTAGTTACACATACAGAAGGGGCCGGACTGTGGGTGGCCAGGGACTCTTATTTTGTGGCATGCTACACAAACATGGTGCAACACTGAATGGAGGGACAGTGCCAGGGCACTCCAGGCACTATAACCAATTCAAAGAGACAAAGTGGTTATAGTGACTACAGTGTCCCTTTAAGTAAAGAGCCCTAACAGGATTATCCACTAACACGGTCATTTAGTAAATTGAGACTACAAAGTGAATTTTTCATTTAAAGGGATACTCCTGGAACCCAGACCACTTCTGGCCATTGGAGCGGTCTGGGTGCCAACTCCCACCACCCTTAACCCTGCAAGTGTAATTATTCCAGTTTTTATAAACTGCAATAATTACCTTGCAGGGTTAGGGCCTCCTCTAGTGGCTGTCTAGACAGCCACTAGAGGGACTACTGTTTTCTTAGAACAGGAAAAGTGTTTTTAACGACGTTGGACGTCCTCACGCTATGCATGAGGACCTCCAGCGTCGCCGGTAACCCCATAGGAAAGCATTGAATAATGCTTTCCTATAGGGAGGTCTAATGTGTGCGGCTGCGTGTCGGCGGGGCACGAGCGCGGGGAAAGCCTGCCATCGTACATCGGCACTGGATTCAGGTAAGTCACTGAAGGGGTGGGGGGTGGGAGGGAGAGGGGCAGGAAAACGGAAGGTCGGAGCAGCTGAAACGAACGCATAGCTGACTTAAAAGAATTTTAGCCATTCGGCTATTTTTCCTAAATCTTGGAATTCACGATGATTTCTCACCTACGTAACTAATCCTGTAAATTGAGTACTATCGCGAATTCGAAGAGAAGTTAAAATTTACTGTCAAATTAGCCAAATTTGAAACACAATTGACTTGGAATTATTTATAATTCGCCTATTTTGACCTTAAATCTTTAAATTCACTGTGAATTATTTTTGTGAATAACCCTGAGAATGTTTTAAACAGGTCAATGTAGGGATCACTTGCCCCTGGTAAGGTAATAACTAAAAGGCAGAGCTGGGCTGACTGTATCAGGACATGTCTTGTGTACTGTGCCACTGACAATACACAGGGTTTGTTACACAACATCTGGGAAGGGCCAGACACTACCCATCCCAGCTTCACATAGCAACACACAGGAGAGCTCTGCAGCATATGGAACTGGGCATCCACCAATCAGAGCGCGGCAACTAGTCGTTCAGTGGACCTGTGCTCAGAAAACTACAAGTCCCGGCATGCAGAGCGGGCATGGACGTTACGTCAGGAAGTTTCGGGAAGGTTACAGAGCAGTTACATCAGAGCGTGTGCTGCGTCAGTGTCGCATTTGGGTCCTGAGCAGCGCAGAGAGCAGAGGGTGACACCTGGAGTTCCTGGTAATTATAGTGCTGTCACAGTGAGGGGGGGGGGGTGTCAATAAACTCCTATCATGGCTAGCACGTGCTTTATAACTTTATATCTAATCACTCTGTTCCCCATCACTCCCATAGCAGGCACCTGGCTCCTTTTATAAACAGTGCTCATTGTTATTATATGGTTTGTCTCTTGTTGTTCTGTAAGTCTGATCACCAGTGATATTTTATGATATTTTATCAGTGACTGTAAAATGACAATAACACTGAGCTTTTTTTTATTAATAATTGTATTTTTATTATTTCATCATAAGTATTAGTGCAAGATTACACCATGTTATTACTTTTTTTGTTTGTTTTTTTTTGTAGTGTTTAGCCAGGTTCCTTTTATACCAATATAAATATATAAGACCTTTTATACCAATAAATAATTATAATAATAAACTATAATGCTAAGCTCCTGCAGTTCTACTATATTGGGTTCATATATGTTGGTGGAAAAAAAAGTTATCAATATTTTTACCCTTTTGTACCAACCCTGCTGCCAATATGCACAATTTATTTTCTCCTGTATTATTTCTGTGTACCCCTCTCTGTTCCAACAGTATCACACTACGCATTATTGAAACCTCAGGTCTTGGGTATCTTTTGTACTCGACCGTGATCGAATAAAGTGACTTGTGGGTGAGGGTCGTTAGGTAACATTACAGTGCATTGAAACAGGAATACAAATGTATACAACATAAAATGTCTCCCCATCAAGTTGTAATGCCTTGTGTTTGTTTAACCCCTTAAGGACACATGACCTGTCATGATTCCATTTTATTCCAGACGTTTGGTGCTTAAGGAGTTAACGGACCACTAAAGTCACAAGCGCAGTTTGTGTATGTGTCAAGGTGTTTGTATGTGCCAGTGTGGATGAATCTGACACACACACACACACACACACACTCTTTCAGATAGTGGCACACAGATATATACACACACACACACACCTTGACACACAGTGTGTGTATGTGTATCTGTGTTTATATGTGCCGGTGTGTGTATATCTGTGTTTATATACTCCAGTGTGCGTATCTCTGTGTCAATGTGTATATGTATCTGACACACAGACACACACTGGCAAATAGATACACACACTTAAATACACACAGTGACATATACACACACTTGCACCCACAGATAAACACAGGCACATGCAAACACACTGATACACAGTGACACATACACAAACCTTGATACACACACATACTCTGACACACACATACACTCTCACTGAGAAACACACATACTCTTTGACAAAAACACATACACTCTTACTGACAAGAACACATACTCACTGACAAGCACAAATACCCTTTGACAGACACACAGACGCATACAAACTTCCTAACAGACACATACAATTTTCTCTTTTTATTTATTTATTATTTTTTTAAGACATTTTTTATCAACCCAGCCCTCCTTACCTTTAGAAGTGCGGACATGGAGTCCCTGTGGTCCAGTGGGGATGCTGGGCGATTGGCGAGCGGTCCTGGGGTACAGTGGGGCTGCTGAGTGACTGGCGTGCGGGCGGCGAGGGAGCTGAGCGGGGGATCACTGCTGCCCGCGGTCATTTTATTTTTTTAAACTTTTGGCAGAACCCCAATAGGGAAACGCTGCTCTTGTGGCTGTCGTGCTGTTCAGATACTATGTGCATTTCTTAGGCCCCTTTTTTATATTGTAAAAATGCTTTCTAGTCCTTAGTGCACTTACTTTAGTGTAATTCTTTTACTGTGTTAAACTTGTGACAGAATGCATGAGTGTTCTACCGAGTTAGCTTGTGGAATCTGTTTTTAAGTCGATGAAAACTCCTAAACAGGCACTGAATTAGTAGCAATGTGAATGTGAATTGTTGTAGCACTTCTAATATAAAATGAACATTAAGTATATAAAAAGGCACTTTATGTGAAAACTACATTTATGTGCTTTATTCAGTTATTCTCACATCTCAAATGTGGATGAACTTTATTCAGTGTGGAGCCTGTTTTTAGATTGAAAACCTTTTTCTTTTTTTTCCCTGCATTTCCAGGATCATTAATAGAAATATTGTGGCAAGATGTTTGCAGCAAGACTGGTATTCCTAAGGAGCCTCCCAACAGTGGCTTTTCGCTCAGCTTTGATCCAGGGATCACCAACTGTGAGAAATGCTCCTCTCAAAACAAACCATTGGTTTTTGCAACCTAACAAGGTATGGGTTTTCAGCAACGGATTACTCAGTTTGTAGTGTATTCTGTGTATGAAATAGGGAACTACTATTATGGCTGAGTAGTTGTTCAGTAACTGTTTTTAAAGTTATTTCAAGCACCATAATAACTTCAGTGTTTTGGAAGTGATCATAGTGCTTGTAGTCTGTTTGTGCAGCATATCATTAAAGGGATACTGTAGGCATCAAAGTAACTTTAGCTTAAAGGACCACTTCAGCTCAATGAAGTGGTCTTGGTGCCACGTCCTCCTATTTTTAACCCTGCAGCTGTAAACATAGCAATTTCAGAGAAACTGCTATGTTTACATTGAGGGTTAATCCAGCCTCTTGTGGCTGTCTCCCTAACAGCCACTTGAGGCTGCTTCTGCAATCCACAATGCGAAAAATCGCATTGAGGACATGCTGACGTCCATAGGAAAGCATTGAGTAATGAAAGGTTTGAAAGCGTGCGCGGCTCTGGCTGCGCATTCGGAGCTGGTGTTGGCAGCGCCGATGGAGTTTGGCGTTGGATTAAGATAAGTGGTTGAAGGGGTTTTAACCCTTTTAGCCCAGAGGGAGGGGGCGACCTATTAACCCTTTAGTGCCAGGAAAAAGAGTTTTTTAGTTTCTGTTTATTGAGTCATTGCCACACCTCCCCTGAATGTGGCTCTCACAGCCTGCATAAATTAAATTACCTTAGAGGTTTTTATCTCCTGCTGTAAATTGAACTTAAATCACACACAGGAGGGTCCTATAAGGTCTGGAAGGTTATAAACTGAGCAGGAGATAATTTCTAAACTAAACAGACAGTGCAATAAAGGACATTTTTATCATATCTCTCTTTACAGAAAGTGCTCTGGAAGTCACATGCAGGGAGGTGTACCTAGGGCTGCATAAACAAAGTTATTTAACTCCTAGAGATGGCAGAGTATTGAGCAGTCAGAGAACTTACTCAAGCGTGCAAGGGTTACTACAACCAAAAATAGTGTTTTATTAAAAAAAACTTTTTTTGTTTTTTTGTTTGAGTAACCCTTTAATTTCCTCACCCAAATAAATATGCTTTGTTTTAAGTCAGAGAAGATACAATTTTGTCATAGTTTTGCTTTGAAAAAAAAGCACAGGAAAAGGTTAGGTCAGCTTTTGTGACCTTGAAGCTCTTCACTTGGCTTCATTCATGATGGCTGATGTCATTGGTATCCTTGTTTTGTAAATGCCTATTTGCATTTGCACAAGAATGTCTGGGAAAACTTGATTTCAACTGCCTTGCATGAACTCCGCTGGGCCAAAGGGGTTAAAACATCTTCAGCCACTTACCTTAATCCGGCACTGGGGACCTCTATCCCTGCCGACATCGGGTCCCGAGTGGAGCCGAATGCGCATGCGCGGCCAGAGCCACACGTGTATTCAAACCGCCCATAGGAAAGCATTACTCAGTGTTTTCCTATGGGGATCTGAACTCACGCTGTGAGTTCAATGCGATATTTCAGACTGAGAATCGTGGAAGCTATCAGGGAGACTGTCTCTGAAACTGCTATGTTTACAGCTGCAGGGTTACAACTAGGGGAACCTGGCACTCAGACCACTTCATTGAGCTGAAGTGGTCTGGGTGCCTATAATGGTCCTTTTAAGGTGACACAACGGCTTGAAAACCTAGTTCTTAGCAGATCTGGGCAGAAAACACACTCTCTCACTCACTCTGGTTTTTAAACAAAGTGTCAATCCTTAAGTTTGTTCACTAAAATGTGAATCATTGGAAATGTAAAATTAATAAAAAAAATTGTGCCAAAATACTCAAATTTGAAACATTATCCTAATCAGTTTATGTTTTTGAATACTCTAGTAAGTAAACCTGGGAGGTGTTCTATGGTGGCTTATGGAATTGAAAGTGGCAACTGCATGCATGTTCCACTTTTTTAAAAGCATCATAGATATTTACACCTGTATGTTGATAGACGCATGCATTTTTCCCAACTAAACATAGAAGTTGGATTTTTATATTTTTAAAATGCAAGTGGTATGTACTAGAATGCAACTGTTCCCTCAACCACTGCCAGAAGCTCTGCCTGAGCAAAGTCAGCCAACGCAGGGCCATGCTCATTGGCGGAACGCTTTTAGCTTGGCTTTCAGGCAGTGAGCAGTCCCAGCAGGGCTTTGCTTAGCGGAGCTTTTTTAATCTCCTTGCAGGAACTACCAGCATCAGGATAGGTGGCTGGCAGTACCCAGACAAGTTGTCTTAAAAGGTTTGACTACTCAGTGAGGGCGCAAGGATACTCTTGACACCATAACCACTATAGAGGGATGCAGTTTTTATTGAATGTTCATTTTAATGCTAATGTCTCAAATGTTTAACTTGTAAAATGTCTGTGTGCCACCTGGGTGGCTGGCATAGGTTTCTGCCAAATGATTAAACTTGTTGAAGTAATGTGTGTCTGTGTCAGTAACGATAATGTCTCTATGCATCTTTCAGCTGTTCTAGCCTATAAACTTGGTGGTGACATTTCTTCATTCTATTTTGTTCTATGATAGGGCTATGCGTCCAAAACCCGGTTTGGATTACGAAAAGCCAAATCTGCTCGTGAAGAAATTAAAGAAGCCGCTTTTGAGCCATCTATGGGCACAGCCGCAAGAAGTAAGTGACTGGAATTCAGGAATTTGATTTAACATAACTTTGTTCAACCTGAAATTGTTAATCCTTTTAATCCTACATATTCCAAAACACATTGATCAAGGAATTAAAATGGAAGCTGTAGGGTTAAATTGACTTATTCTTTGGTTGTGAATATTTGCATTTAGAAGTGGGCAAAATGGCTGGATGCCAACTTAAGCATGTTTTCTTTTATGTTGTTAAAGATAGAAGAAACACCCTTATTGTCCTGAAAGCATGCAATCACCTCTCTTAGCTAACAAATAATGATATTGCCTCTCCTCTTATCACTTTTATGATTTATATTATCACAAACCAACACCTTATTTTAAATGATGGCTTGTTATTGCTTTAAAATGTAGCATTGCAACCCATTTAGAGAGTATAAGGTTTTTAAGCCTGATAAACTGGTACTACAGGCATCAAAATTACCTTAGCTTAACTTAGTGATTTTTGTGTGTAGATCACGACTCTTTCCTCTCACTGCTAAATCCTAAATGCATAATCATAGTTATTTAGAATTTAAATAACTATGTTTATGCAGCCCTGGTCACACTTCGCCTACATGTGTCTTAAACACTACCTGTAAAATGCTCTAATATTTAAATTTCCCTTTTTTTTTTTTTTTTGCACAGTTTGTTTAATTTAGAATGTCATATCTTCTGCTATGTTAATAACCTGCTAGAGTCTGCAGGAGCATCGTGCGTGATTTTTAAAGTTACAGGGCAGGAGATAACACTTCTAAAGTAAGTTAACGTCTGATTTTTAACATCTAAACTGTGTGATTCTCAGCCAGGAATTGTGTAACTGGGGCTCAATAAACAGAACCAAAAGTGATTTCATTTATAAATGGCAGAGAATTGAGCAGTGAGACTGCAGGGGCATAAGTTATACACCAAAATTGCTGCAGTAAAAACATGGGAACCGAGGGGAAAAAAATTGTCTTCCAATTTCTTCCCATTTTTGTTGAAGGGGAAATTCCCAGCATCCCAGCCCATCACATGCTATATCACTGGAAAGACCAGGATGTGCTCTTTACAATACAGCAGGGATTGATAGAGTAGCTCAAAAGAATAAAAGGAGATGCATGTGAAAAAAATGTCCAGTGCAGAGGACACAGGTTAATGGGCTGGGTCTTGGAAGGATAAGCTAAAGTTGTTTTGGTGCCTATAGTATATTTCTAATATGTATGTGAAATGCAACTCCTCCTTTGTTGACTAATACATTGGCTAGGAGAAGTCATGAAATTATGATTTTTATATATATTTTTTTTCCCCCTTTTAACATAAATTTTTATACATTTTAAAAGAAAAAGATAATGGAATGTATTGTCTTTTCTTGTATTTCAGTTGACATAACTGGCAGACTCATTGTAGCAGGCGGAGCTGTTGTTGGTCTTGGTGCTCTATGCTATTATGGACTGGGAATGTCCAATGAAATTGGTGCCATTGAGAAAGCTGTGTAAGTGGTGCATACTATAAGGTTTTATTTAAGCAGTTTAATATTGGCAGAAAGTGGTATTTTAAAATGTATAAAAAGCCAATGTTAAAAGCACTCTGTGCGCCATAGTCAATACAGTGAATGGTGGTTATCATGCCAGGTGTCCACTTGGCACCATGTTGCCCTCAAGAGTCAAAACTGTTTTCCTGCAGTTAAACACATGGATACCCACTGTTCAGTCTCTTTTCATAATTAACAATAAAGTGAAGTTCCTCTTCTGCATTGTATGAAACTAAAGATGACAATTAATATTGCTGATGAGGAAGTTTTCACTGCCACATGTGACTGTTTGTTTGTATTTTATTTTTCCTGGGTATCATGAAGATACCAAAGTTGGTGTTTAGAGGGGCATTTAAACTTTCCTTTCTTTAGGGCCTCCTTTTTCCTATTCACGTCATCGATTTGCTCGTAGTAGATAGAGCCCCAATGGCTCTGCCGCTCGTGTACTTTCACACATGCCCAATATTACAAAACAAATGTCTATGGAAGATCCCTAGATCTTGTCTCACGTGCACAGTGAGCGTTGATACCTGTACTCATCAGTTATCTCCCATGAGAACACCAAAATGCATTGACGGCTGTCTAAAACCAGGCCTTTTCCCACAGTTTGCCAAATGTAATGCCTGTTTTATTCTTAGTAATTCCAATGAGATTCCAACAGAGAGGTTTAGTCACTAAACTCTTAAATGTAGAGAATTGAAATCTGAATTGCAAAATCAAACAAACACTACCAGACTGAAAAGCAAAGTTGTAAAATGTCTCCAAATCTGCTATATAAAGTTGACGTATGCCACTCAGATTACTGCTATTGAGTCTAGTGTATCCAAAAATCACCCAGATCGGTTCAGGAATTTCCTGGAAGTTTTATTTTTGCCCCACTGTGCACATAGTCCCATGCCCAAAATAGTTCCATACACTCGACGACAAAACACCGCTGGACTATTAAAGATGGCCGCCGCCACATGTTTGAATCTGTTCCAGTTAAAAGTCCAAGGGGCAGAAACAGTACTTTTGAACATGGGTTTTCACAGGGCCCATAGTCCCAAGGGCCATCCTTTGCAGAAACCATTGAATTATATAAATAATTTATTTTTAATATTTTCATTTATCGCTGTATTCCACCATTCAAATGATGGTGGAGAGAGGCATCACTTCTCATTGGGTAGTATTGAAGTCAAGCACACTAGTCATTGTTTATAGCTAGGCACCCATGGTGTCGCACACCGTACCAACCACAGTAATTGATAAATTATTTGGGTTTTGCAAGTGGTTACTCCTGACCACTACCGTCTCATAGGTACACTTGGTAGGAAGGGTTTTAGGTGAAGATCTGTGTTGTCAAATACAAAAAGAATAGATAAGAGAAAAATCAGGGATGATATCCTAGCACTATAACTACTTCCATAAGTGTCCCTTTAATTTTTAAATTTCAAACTGCTACATTGTTTCTTTGTCCTCACTAGGTATGAAACTGTATTTTACTATCCCTACCTCCACTAAAAAAAGTAAATCTTGTCTTTAGTCCCTACCATTTATGTAATTCTGCAGAAAAATGCAATTCATGTAACGGAGAATTACACAATTCACTGCTAGAAGTCACTTAGCACTCAGTGCGTCTCTATGGAATAATATGGAGCCTGATCCTGGTTGCTCCAGGCCGTCTTTCAAGGACTTCATCCTAGACAAATTTTCAGCAAGTTTGAACTACATTTATTGTGATGCTCGGCCAGTTCTTTCTGACATATATTGATGCGAAGCAGAAGTGCCTGTTCTCTGTGGTTTACTGAGCTTCGCAAGATGTCATGCTATTAGTCTGAATCATTCCAGCACTAGGAAATGGTAATCATTAATTAACAGCTGAAGCAGGCAGGGCTTAAAGGTAGTATCTTATATTCATGTAAATAAGCATTGATACTTTTTAAGGTTAGGATTCCCAAAGGTAGATTTCAAGGCCTGCTGCAGGATTATGGAAATAAGAATTAATTCAAAAACAACTGAGAATATCAGGCACCCCCTGCTGTACAGTAACCTTTACTGCTGCATATTCCCTGTATGTAGTCATATAAACTGTGATTTAATTAAGAATTTAAAAATAAAAAAAATGGACATTATTAAAGACCATTATGTAGTCGTGTGTGTTTTGTTTTTTTTTTTTGTTTTTTTTTCTCTCCTGTAAATGCCTAAGGAAAATGAACTAAGCATTTGATGTTCATAAAAAAAAAAAAAGTTTGATCCTTTTATAATACAAGTGTTGCAACATAATAAATAATTGGGTCCATTGTCTTATTTTGCTTTCTTTGTGGTTATTTTTGTGTTTAATTTGTGTGTATGCTCTAAATGTCATTTCTGTCTCTCTTTCTCTAGCATTTGGCCTCAGTATGTAAAAGATAGAATCCGATCAACCTACATGTATTTCGCCGGCAGCATCAGTCTCACGGCTCTGTCTGCAGTAGCAGTCAGCAGGTCACCCGCTCTCATGAACCTGATGATGAGAGGCTCCTGGCTGGTGAGGTTCTAATCTCGATTCTGTTACTACGGTGACAGAATGTATGTCATGTGTCCCAGATTACTGGAAGTTTTGTTAGGCCTGCAGTTACAATTTGTAACTGAAATAAAGCTAGTTCCCTCAGCTTTGCTGTGCTGGCACCAAGGGGCTTGAGTGTTGTAAAGTGCAGACAGAGAATATCTGCATCATGCAGCTAAACTTCAAATTAAAGCATATTGTGTTTTTAAAGGGGAATTGCCACTTCTCTGGAATTTACATCCGTAAAACAGTGAAAATCAAATTTGTATTTTTTTTAAATGTATTTTATGCATTTAAAAGATGTTTCTTTTAAAGGGACTCTCCAGGCAGCAGTTTTTACTCACCTGGTTCCAGCGCTGGGAGCCTCGTGAAGCCGCGACCCCTATTTCGTCAAAATGACGAAATAGGCGGGTGCGAGCAGGGAGCAATCAGACGCTTCCATTTGGAAGCGTCATTGCTCCCTTGTGCGCATGCGCGGCTTCACCGCACATGCGCACATACTTCATAGCCGCCCTCTGAAGTGACTGACAGCTCAGCTCGCGGTCTTTGCCCGCCCCCCTCCTCAGCGGACAGGCAGAAGAGAGAAGGCGCGCACAGTGCCTTCTCTCTCCTGCACACGTCAGACGTATTTTAATACGTCTGACGTGTACAGGGCCTTTTTAGGGCCCTGCATGATAGGAAGTCCATCTGTTGGCCATCAGAGTGACGGCCACTGGAGGTATTCCTATCAATCAATGTAAACACTGTATTTTCTCTGGAAATACAGTGTTTACATTAGATTGCCTGCAGGGAGCTATAGATCTCACCTGAACAACTACATTAAGCTGTAGTTGTTCAGGTGACTATAGTGTCCCTTTAAATTTTAAGCTACATGTGTTGTCTCACCACGTTTTGTGTAGTGGTTTCCAAAATCACTGCCACTATAAGCCTGCCAACCAAATCGGTACCCATTTCATTTTTACATAGCATGATGCCTGCAAATATCATTAAACCATTAATTCCTTAAGAATACATGATGGATAGTTTAATGCTGGCGTTTTATTTCCGAAGCTGTGTCCCTAAGGGGTTAAGCGATACGGTAAGCCTATAAACCATGTTTGTATTGGTGGGTTTCTTGGTCTGCACAGTCGTTTAGCTCATGTCTTCATAAGCATATTCCACAGTCTCTTCATTGAACAGGTGTTTGAGATATGCTAAGCACACTCGTTCTCTGGAGAAATGTAGGTGTGAAACAAATGAGAGGATGTGCTTTAATTCCATTATGTATTTTAAAATGGTTAACTTTTAGCCTGTGACGTTCCTTTGACATTATACTCTCCTTACCTGCTTACTTTCCCGCTAGATAGACATTTTCATAAATTTGCAAAGATCTTTCTTGCCTTTTTGCCCATTCATGATTTTCCATAATACTAAAGCCAACAAACGAGGAAGCAAAGATAGACAGAATAGTCGTACATAAAGCTAGGCCATTTTTGAAGTATGGATTGTCATGAACCCAACCTCTCCCTCTGCCATCTTTCTATCCACATAGATGTGAAAGTCAGACAAGAGGTGGGAACAGTGCATTTGTTCATTCCTACCCCTAAATGTTTTACTCGTATTGTCCTATGTCTCCATAGAAAAGATTGTGTTATATAATTGTATATTTGTGTATGTCTCCTTACAGGCCATTGGGGCTACATTTGCAGCAATGATAGGAGCTGGCATGCTGCTAAGATCAATATCATATGAACAAAGTCCTGGATCTAAGCATCTTGCATGGCTGTTGCATGCAGGTATTAAGTCATTCTGCTTTTCACAATGAGGTCTTTACATATTGAAATTACAAACTCATTTCCTGGAGTAGTGTTTAACCCCTTCCCGACCAATGACATACCAGGTACGTCTAGCACCAAATGTCATTGGTAACTTCTTTATTTTAAGTTCTGAAGTTCTTTGTCATCTAGTTACTTGGAATCAAGACAGGCAGTGCAGATTTTCAGTGCTGCGTACAACCAAACTGTCAGTTTGGAGCCATCAGCTTTCTGAGGTTAAGCAGTTTTCTTTCCTAATTCATATATTTTTGACAGAAGAATCTTTCAGTCCGTATTGTAAATGGTTGGTTTTATTTTTAAGTTTTGTGGGTATTGTTTTTTTTCCTTCCCAGTTTGTAAATCTATTTAACCATCTTCTTTCTTATGTTTCGTTCCACAGGGGTGATGGGAGCAGTGGTTGCACCATTAACATTGTTAGGAGGTCCTTTGCTAATTAGAGCTGCCTGGTACACAGCTGGCATTGTCGGAGGTCTATCCACTGTAGCCATGTGTGCCCCTAGTGAGAAATTTTTGAACATGGGGGGACCCCTGGGGGTTGGTCTTGGACTTGTTCTCGCCTCTTCCATAGGTAAATGTGTGTTTTTTGTTTTTGTTTTTTTTCTTCAAATAATTTGTGTGTGTATGTAGTTTATATATAGATATTTTATTTATTGCCAATGTACCTGCACACAAGGATAAATACCTAATACCCAGTGCTTGCCTGCATTATATATAATGTCTGTATAATATAAATAAATGAGGAAATCACAAAATAATTTTAGCATAAATTTATAGCGGTTTTATTTTGGTGTGAAAAACTTCGAGATAACCTATACTTCATCAGTATATATTTTTAGTGCCCCTTTAAACATACAGTCTCTCTTTTTCATGGTGAAAAAATGTAACATTTATGCAATAGTGTGTGTATGCGCGCGCAGTTATTAGCAAGATCACACACAATTGTAAGCTTACTGGGGATTTTCACTACATCTTACTCACTTCTTTCCCCTGTTTGTATTTCATGAGAGAGAGGTTTAAATAAGTCTGTGTCTAAAAGTATAGTCACAAAGAAAGACACAGAGCAAAATGCAGAAAGTGTAGTTCAATGTTCTAACAAATAACAGATTGTAATGAATTGCAGAATTTATTTTTTATATATTTATTTTTGTCCTTGTTTAATTAAGGAAGTGCATTCCTTCCTCCGACCTCTGCATTTGGAGCCGGTCTTTATTCTGTTGCAATATATGGGGGCTTAGTGCTTTTTGGAATGTTCCTTCTGTATGATACACAGAAAGTCATTAAACGGGCTGAGACACATCCAATGTATGGAGTACAGAAATTCGACCCAATTAATTCGTAAGTATCAACCGGCATCACTTATTCTATTTGAAAATGTTTTAAGCTGCAATTTTCTGAATTCTTTAAGTAACAGTGTAAAAGAACTAATGACAGGCTAGGGTCATAGAAAAATCATTAGACTTTTAGAACACTCGTTTATATTTAGCACAACAAAATAATTGTTGTGCACTGATTGTTTTGCTTTTTCGTTGTTCTTATTAACCTGGCAAGCTAATGTTCATATTATTCTTTTTGTTCATACAGTGTTGTAATGTCTATAGACAGCAGATTTTTCAACCCTTTGCTTAGTTAAGCTTGATTTTCAAGAGAGAAATTTTTTTTTTTTTGTCTTTTCTGAGAGAATGGTCTATGATAATGCAGTTTTGGGACTCCTTAAACTGGGCTGTCCTTTATATGAAAACCCTCTATTACGTAACACTTAAAGGGACATGATAGGCACCCAGACCACTTAATCTAATTGAAAACGGCAATGTTTACATGTTTACAGACAGCCATTAGAGGTGCTTCCTGGCCTTTAATGGAGTTTGATCTTGAGAAATGATGCTGGACATCCTCACACTATGCATGAGGACGTCCAGCATCGTCTTAATCCCATAGGAAAGCATTAATTCAATGCACGCCCACCATGCATTGATTCCATGCATTAGCCCCCCATCGGCAGAGGTTTGTGGGCCAGGGGGAGACTATACTGTTAGGAATACAGTTTTGTATTCCTAATACTATAGTGTTCCTTTAAGATGTACATCGAATAATGTGACCTTTTAACACTTTAGAATAACTTTCATGAACAACATAACTTCATTTTGAATTTTCTCATCTAGATGCCTGGGGATTTACACAGACACTCTAAACATCTTTATTCGTGTGGCCATGATGCTGGCTGGAGGTGGAGGAGGCAAGAGGAAATGAATCAGTGCAGCACTCATAACCTCATATTGATTGCTCTCCCCAAGCACTTTACTCACCTACAGAACCATAAATACATGCTAATATAAATACCATCAACCAGATTATGTTTATATTTGACAATAGAAATAGAAGCATGTTGATTGAATCTATTCTAAAAGCCTTGACTTCTGAATAAACACTCAATTCCCTGGTATAATTTAAGATAGAGGCAAAGAATGGCACGGAAGCATTCATCTTTTCAGTGGTAATGAATAGCACAGGGTGTAAGGAACAGAAGAAAATCACTTTACATTCTGATGAAATTACCTGGCATGGAGAAATAGTAGATCTTCAAAATTTTGATCGCTAAAAATATGGTGCCGGGTTGGAAAGATTTGTTTGCAATTATCTCTGTGCAACAAATAAAGAGATTTATAACCTTGTCATACATTTTAAAGCGTATTTGCTTCACCCTCAGAAAATGCCTATATTCATATATTTAAAATCCGCTGCAGATTAATGCCATTTCCCTAGTGCTCCATGCTCCTAGTCATGTAAACATGTTATCTGCAAAAACTCCTAATTCTATTAGATATAATTATTTAATCCAGATGTCACATTCTTACTCCCGGCTTAATATGTGCTTGGTCGCATGCATGTTATAGATGCCCTTATCACATCAAGTTTGCAAGAATGGGTTAAAAGACCATTCTCATTTTGTGCTAAACGCAATGGGGATTCTGAAAATGTTGTCTACAGAAAAGGCAAATACAGTCTGTCCTTGGTATACATGAGGACTGTTAAAGGAAAATTTCCTAGGCTGTCAAAACTACTGTACTATGGTGACAGTCCCTTTATACCTCTTTTAAGGACCAATGACTGTCTATATTGCTATAACAGTGTTGTCTTGAAATATCCAATTATAAAATGAAACATTATCCCTATTTAACGACAGATGGGCTGTATATGTTTAAATATGCTAAATGGACAGAATCTTCCATTTGGTACAAGGTAGATTGGACTGCGATGAATGCTTTATCGTTGGTTCTTAAAGAGTTATGTTTCGTTGAGAAGCCACCGTTTTCTTTTGGGGTGTATTTTTTTTTTTTTTTTTTCTTAACAAAATTAGGAATATATTTGAAGGTTTTGGTGATTAATAGAGAGCTTAATGTTAAGTGATTCATGTGATACATTCTGAGTGTTATATATTTTTGTTAAAAAATTTGTATATTTGTTTAAATTAAATATGTAATAGGCACTTGTTGGTTTAATCATTTTCACCTATACTTCGAAGCACCGGTTATCAAACTGCTTTTTGCAGCCAACTACTTGGAAAACGTATCTACTCGAAAATGTTGATGATTTTTTAAAAAAAATATTTGACTGATGAACATTTTAGGCAGTTTCTAATTGTGCGACAAACTGGGAAAATAATTCCTTCTTCCAAAATGGCAATTGACCTCTCCTTTGGATCCGTGCATAGAAAATTTATGGATATACAAACACCAGTCACTTGTTTCATCCTTTCATGCTTCAGTAATACTAGCTATGTCAGGGCTGCCCAATAGGTAGATCCCCAGGTGTTGTTGAAATACAACTCCCAAGATGCCTTTAGAATGACAAAGCATCATGAGAGGTAGTTTTACAACATCTGGGGTATACCTATTCGGCATCCCTGAACTATATCATACAGGTCATAATACACAGGCTCTAAAGGCTGAAATCAATGTTATTCCTTATTTGGGAGAAAAATAAATAAATGATAATTAGCTCCCTCTTTACAGTCTGTTGTAATCTCACCACTCCATCACCCTGGACTTCAGCTAAGTTCCCCTCCTATATGTCCTTCCTGATTTCTGAATGTAGATATTTGAATTCACACTTACCTATTTTGTCAAAACGTGTAATAGTTTGTCTGATTTGTTAAATCTCCTTTAATAATATTGAAAATCACTGCAGAATATTGTCCACAGAAATCCTACAAAACAAATTACGGGAATATTTTCTTTAGGCCAGGGCTTGACAAATTTGTTTGGAATTTAGGAGCCAATTAAACAAGTTAGGAGCCAGTCATTTTCAACGAGAAAAAGGGACACTATAGTCAACAGAACCACTACAGCCTGATGTAGTTGTTCTGGTGTCTATAGCCTGTCCCTGCAGGCATTTTAGTGTAAACACTGCCTTTTCTGTGAAAAGGCAGAATTTACATTGCTGCTTAGTAACACCTCTAGTAACAGTCACTCAGACGGTCACTAGAGAGTCCTGAGTCACTGCTGCACCACATGCAGCACCCAGGTTCAGTATCTCCAAGCTCTGCATGGAGGTGCTGAATGTTCCTCGTAGAGATTCATTAATTTAATCCATCTCTATGAGGAGATGTGGATTGGTACATTTGCTGCGCATGCACAAAATCCTCCCAATGCATTCCTAAGGGAAAGCATTGGCTTAGCTGAGATCATAAAGATTAATAATCTCAGCCATGGGGAAACTGGCACGGCGTGAGAAAAAGGTGAGTAAAAACGATCGAAGGGGGGCAAGTACCTAAATGCTTGCACACACACACACACACACACACTGACAGGCTCACATGCACACTCACGCTGACAACAGGCTTGCACGCACAAACTCTTGACAGACTTGCTCGTGCACACACACAGTGTCTCTTGACAGGCTCACACATTCTTACGCTGACAACAGGCTTGCACACACTGACAGGCGTTCACATACACACGCACACACTGACAGGCTCGCGCACACACATACAGACACTGAGAGGCTTACACAGACACTGTGACAGGCTCACACACACTCTGACAGGCTCTCACACACACAACACATATTTTTGTTTTAATTGAAACTCACTCAGCCTCCCTACCTTTTGGGAGAGCTGAGTGAGTCTTTCCTGGGGTCCAGTGGGGCAGCTCTGTTCCTGTGTGCCACGGAGCAGTACTCTGCCTGCAGCTGCTCTCTGCTCCCTCGCGCTCTGTAATGGTGCCGGGATTACGTCCTATCCCGGCTCCCGATATAATTACACAGCGCGAGGGAGCAGAGAGCAGCTGCAGGCAGAGTACTGCTCCCGCGGGTGGCCGCCCACCACCATGCTCCCGCTCCCTGCAATCTTCCCTGTGACGGCCACTGTCAAAACTTCCTCGGCCACACTAACTAGAGAGCTAGCACATTTCAGGCGCCAGGGTGAAATTTTTCATCGACCTGGCGCCTGGGATTTGTTGAGCCCTGCTTTAGGCTGTATGTATTAAATAGTTTTGTTAAATATTTGTGTTTTTTCTAGTTTACAATCTCCAACCATCTAACAAACCCTGTTTATTTCAACAGTTAATAAGGATGGGCTCACTCTTTGGGTGCCAGGAGACCCTACCTATTCCAGAGTTGTCTTCCCACATAACCATTAATATAAGCTGTAGTATTTCTATTGCTTATAGTTCGTTTAACCCCGTGTTTAAAATTGGGGGGAAAAAAAAAATCTCTTAGTGACACTTATAGAGCACCAACATATTCCGCAGTGCTGTAATATTGGGGGTGGTACAGTACACTGTGCACAGATCAATTCAAAAGGTTGAGAGCCCTACCTGTGGCCTAAGATCTAGCCATAGAAGCTCTTTTATACGAAGTGCCTAGTTAGATAGCCCGTGAGCTTACAATCCTCCTGAACAGTTTCAAAAAGCCATCAATACAACACAGCGACAGTGATAGAAATAAATTTTTTTTTTTTTAATCTTTAAATGCTCATGTACCGATTTTGTATATGCGATTTGATAATTCTTTAATGCACAGATATGGAGTATGAGAAGAATAAATGCTTTATGAATAATGAGTCCATTTGTGTTAGAGCTTCAGCTGTAAAAGCTAGTTTATCGGTATATATCCTAGTTGCTGACTCAATGTCATTTGTTTTCTGTGTGCGCATGAAATGCCACAAGGTCAAAACTGGACATTCTTTATAGGAAGACAAAACACTTCAAGGCAGTTCTGACAGCACTGTAAGTGATGTGTCTGTGTTCTTCGATCATTTGTTCCCCTTAATACAAATCTTTCAAAAACCCTCTGGGTTCTGGAAGACCCAATCGCTGCACTATCTCCAATGGTATTTACCATCATAAGTTCTCAGATATGATTTAGATGGCATATTGATTAAAATTTAATAAATCACAAGGGAGTAATGTCTGTCGAGTGGCCTTTTGAAGGGTCAAATGAGCAGCTCTTCAGTAAATCAGACAAGATGCAAGGACCTTTTTTTTTTTTTTTCCCTCTCGTTCTTTCTACTAAAACCGCTCTCTCTTAAACATGAAATAACACTTGATATTTTCTCAAGTAAATCCTAATCAGCAAGAATGGTATTGCTAATACCAACATACTGTTTTGTAGGTCAAAATGAATATTTTGAAACCAGTTTTAGCTGACATTCTGTAATCTAGGTTTGACACCTTGGATGACATGCATGGAAAAAAAAGATGTCTTGAGAGTACAAGTGACAACCCTGGCTCACCATTGTTTGAAGAATGCAGTATGCAAACAGGCATGACACAATCTCCCAGGTAAATACCCATGCTGACTGCAGAGTTGTTCGAATCGGACATTTAGTGGCATTTCATCATGGAAATGCTGACATGCACACACAGAATTAGTAGTTGCATGTGCTATCCAACTTCCATGCTCTCCTTCCCAGGCTGACAAAAAGCAAGGCCCATGGCTGCACCGGCAGACCCATGCCAATAAAAATAAATCGTTGAGGGCAGCGAGGCCCAAGTGGCAGCTGCTTTGGGCCCCATAGGAGTAACTGGGCCCGGGGCAGTTTCCCTATTTTTCCTGCGTTAAAGAAGGCCCTGATGCCATTCCGATAGGGATGGCAATATTCCCATGTAATGGACAATAGCAAAAAGATGTCCAGGCATACACTGTTTCTTCAGTGCACACTTTATTCAGAGTCTTCCTCAAGCTATCCGAATCCCCACAATATCGTATTGATAAAGAAAAAAATGAATGCAATAATTATCATAAGATGTTACTGCATACATAGACTGCCATCACAGACCTACAATACATTGCCGCTCCCTTTCTAATACAGTAATGCATAATAACCAGCACATACATATATTATAGCAATAGTTAAATATGTGAGACCAAATGATTGATCCTTAATTTCCATGTCCCTAAAATGTATATACAATTCATTGTAATGGCAAAGTGTCACTGTGACCCACGAACTGGACGTGACCTAAGCAATGTCAAACGTAGAGGTTCCCAGTGCCTTCTTTTTCACAGAATGAGACTAAGGATTGTGGGTAAATCCAGATGTAGTACTCACAAGTTTCCCTGTAAAACATTAAAGGGACACTATAGTCACCAAAACCACTTTAGCTTAATGAAGCAGTTTGGGTGTTTATATCATGCCCCTGCAGTCTCACTGCTTAATTCTCTGCCATTTAGGATTTAAATCACTTTGTTTAAGCAATTCTAGTCACACTTCCTTGGGAGAGGGGTTGAGATGGAGGACCACTAAGGGGGTGGGTTGAGAGGATGACCACTAAGGGGTGGGGGAGTGAGAAGACCACCAAGGGGGGACTGCAGAAGGACAGGGGGCCAAGGGAGAGCACTAACGGACAGAAGGGGAGATCACTAATTGACAGGAGGGGAAAGCAGTATAAAGTAGTAAAGAGCTGCTCCCCTCTCAGTTCCTATCCTACCCCACAAAGCTTCTCTACCCCATCCCTACTCACACACAGACACACCGAAACACACAATGCATCCCTTATGCGCACACACACACTGATTCTCTTACACACAGAAGCAAAATACATCTCTTACACACACTCAATGCACCCCTTACAGACACACACTGCATTAAATTACATACACAGAAACACACCTTGCATCCCTTATACACACCCACACCCAGAAACATACAATGCATTCCTTACACACATACACACACTACATCCCTTACACAAATTGGTATCCCTATACAGTACATTCCGTAAGAACACATTACATTCTCTACACTCCACTCCCTGTGAGAGAACTCATGGGTGGGCCTTGTTCGTTAATTGTTGTGAGCACTGTTACAAACTGTCTCCAGAGAGCCTCTTCTACACCAGACCTGTGGAGCCAGACTGCAGCCTGAGCCCATCATCCTCCTCTTGTCCTCATCTGGTGGTAAGTAGGCAATCCAGTATATTATTAGTGGCACTAATCTCTAATTTAGCTCACATTAAAGGGCCACTATAATCACCAGAAGCACTACCGCTTAATGTAGTTGTTCTGGTGTCTATAGCCTGTGTCTCTAGGCTTTTTAACGTAAATACACTGCCTTTTCAGATAAAAGACACTGTGTGCAGCACTGGCGTTGGCCCATATGGCAGAGCATATGGGTGGGGCATTGTGATTTCACAAGGTGGGCAAGACATATGGGGGGTTGGGGGCAGCAATTTTTTTTTTGCACCGGCCCTGTCAATACATTAGCAGTTCCTCAGTTTTCATTTAAAACAATAAGGTTATAAATTCTTGATAATAGTATATTTGCAAAATAAATATATATATATATATATATATATTTTTTTTTTTTTATTGCCTACAATATATTTTATAACTCAATGGACCATTTTAACTTGATAGCCTAGTTTTTATCCTCCTGCAAATGCAGGAATTTTTGTTGTATGTTTTTAATTCTGTAATTCCGGAGTACGTAGTAAACCATTTGAGATGTGTGTCTGTTGTGAACCCGGACGGTACATTTAAACAGCGCTTTCTACATGATTCTCTCTGTCTGGCTGATGAGATAAAGAAAGGATTAACTAAAAGCTAATCATCTTATTGTTAGATTTCCCATCTGTATAGTGCTAAAATTAAACCAGGTACTCCACATGGATTTTATCGTAAATCAAGATAACTAGACCTTGCAGGTAAACAAAGCTTTTTAAGGAACAAATACTTTTTATACTTAATTTTAATAACTTGAAATGTTTTAACTATATACAGTAAAAAAAAAGACTGACAAATACAAAATATTCTACCAAACTGAAATACATGCTAACAATTGGGATCTGCACTACCTGGCTTTGTACAGCAGGGGTCACTAAAATCAAATGTAATGCTGGCTACTTTTTTTTTTTTGGCAGTTGCAGGAGAGGAATCAGGGTGCGGGGAGAGAAAGCTGTTAGCAAATTAATTAATATACTTTCCTGAAGAAGTACATTTTCAATTATTTTTTGAAGGAGTGGAGACTAGGTGAACGAGTGTAGGGGCCTAGATGGGACATACTTGTGTATTAGAGAGTATAGGTAGGTTGGAGTAGCATTATGTAAAGATTTGTAAGCAAGTACCAAGATCTTAAATTGAGCCCTATATCTTACAGATAGCCAATGTAGGGACTGACAAAGGTGGGAGGCGTGGGACGTGCAGGAAAATGAGTCTCACCACCGCATTCATTATAGACTGTAACTAGAGTGTAATATTAAAATATCTTCATTAGTGTTGTAGCATTCAGCAGAAATAGCTTGTAATTTTGTAGCAAAAGTGATGAGATACATATTCTGCTACAATAACTCAAATGGAAACTAGAGTGCCAGGAAAACCCTTCGGTCACATACCTCAGTCCAGCGCTTATGTCCCTCAGTGCTGTTTCAGGCTTCGCCTTCGCACCTTCCCCGCCAACGTCAGCCGGCAGGAGAGGCCTAATGTGCTCCAATGGCTGAGCTCGAATTAGCATTTCCCCTATAGGAAAGCATATAGTGCTTTCCTATGGGGATTCAGGTGACACTGGATGTCCTCGTGCATAGCTATAATTCTACCTAAGGCACAATACTTACGGAAAATCCGCAATCACTCCAACAAAGATAATATGGATGAACAACTTCAAATGATGACAAAGATTTGAGAGAGGTTACAAACAGGATGATCTAAATAAATCATTACAAGTGGCGTTTCAAAAACATAATCCACCGAATAAACACAAGGAGCACACAATAGTATTTTTGGTAACAAAGAAGCATACAATAATAATGGATGTGTTAGGTGCCTGGGGGTGTCACTTGTGGACACATGACTCCTGGGCGGTCATTTAATCATATACACACAGGCAAAAAAAATTGATTCAATCAAGGATAACTTGTAAAACAATGTTTGGGATCTATAAGTTGAAATGCAACCTATAAGTTGACATGCCCATGTGGACAAGTATGTGTGGGCAAAACAGAGACACAATTGTGTGGGCGAATTAGAGGACGCAGGTCCAGTATCTGTACAGCTTTTAGAGATGGACATACAGATAAACCTGTAGCGAAAAAAGTTTTGGATCAGAAACATCCAGTGGCCTCTTTAAAATTTATAGGAACTGAACATGTACCCGAAATGAGAAGGGGAGGAGATAGGGCAAGAAGCCTACTCAATTGAGAGGCATACTGGATCCATGAACTCAATACAGTGACACCGGCAGAATAGTTGAATTTTAGTTAATTCCTTTAAGTATAATCAGTTACAGTTGAGTGCCCAAAAGTATCAATATAACATCAATGGACATATGTCCTTTTGAGAGAGGGATTGTCTTCTGATACATTACAATATGATTTTTTTTATAAATACTAGTAGAGATATATTTATCCCATAATCTATATTCATCCATAACTCTTATATATATTGTTATTGGGATTTTTTAATATGTTTTTATAGTAGTGATTAATCTGTGAATGGGTGGGTACAAATTTATTGTATTTTAGCACTTTGGATTATATGAAGGTAATTTTTGTACTGTTGATGCACAAT